GGGAACACTCCATGACAGAATCCACGACGAAACTGAACCAAAATGGGGAAATCGGACAACCCTGACGAACGCCACTTGTAGTCGGAAAGCTATCCGATAGGGCACCGTAGACCCTGACGCGGCCTGTAGTGTTCACATATTTCGTGGGAACACCTTTCTGCGCAAGTATTTCGATCAGAATCGACCGATCGACTGAATCGAAAGTATGCTTGAAATCGAGGAACACAGCTATTGTCGGTCTGCGGTATGCGTGGCGCTGCTCTAGTACCTACCGCAAATTTAATATATGGTCCGTACAGCCACGTCGTGGGCGGAAACTGGCCTGCTCTTCCCTAATCCGAAATTCCTGTTCCGCAGTGAGGCGACGAACGAGAATTGAGGCCAGTAGTTTTGTCACATCCGGCGGTAGGCTAATATGCCTGTGATTAGAAGTGTGCGACTGCCCTTCTTGTATATTGCCACTATAATCGATTCGCTCCAATTAGCCGGGACACTTCCTTCCAGATACGTTCAAATAGGGAGGTCAGTGCTTTGCAGAGGACCTCACCTCCATCTTTAAATAGTGCAGGTGGGAGGGAACCCGGGCCAGCGGCACAAAAACGATTGAGGGCTGTGATCGCATTTCGGATCTCGGCTTCCGACTGAGGCTCTAAACTAACCGTCCATGGCTCGTCCTGCATCACCTGAGTAGGAAGATGTCCGGGAGCAGGGGGCCAGCTGAACTGATCTTGAAAATATTCTGCCTAACCAGCCATACGGCGCTCCTTATTGTGTATCAGCGCACCCCCGCTGTCTCTGGAAAACGCGAAGAGATAAATAATCCCATCAGCATTCCAAACGGCTGGATTTTGCACTCAGTTTTATGCAGTTACTTCTGAGGTTGGTGTCATGACTGAGTTCCAGCGATTGCCGGCATACGTGATTAAGAGCACGTTATATTTGGTACACTAATATGTAATCGCGGCGCAGCCTTCGGTAGCGGCCAATGAGAACTCGTAGGGACTTCCGCCTTTGCTTGTAGGACAGATTGCGTATACCCTGGAAGCTATTTGTGGCCCTGCGTTGAGGTGTCTCTAACACCTCTAGGTCGCGTTTCAACAAAGTTTGCCAGGCACAGGTGGCGTAGGCAACGTGAGGGCGCAAGTAAGAATTGTGTATCTTGGAGAACATTGATGGGTCCAAACTCCCGAATGCACACCGCAGCAAGCCGACGTGGTTGGTTGGCTCTTTTCGCAGCTGCCTCTGACTGCCTTGAACAGTTAATGTCACTCTGTATGAGCACACGAAGGTCGCGTTACTGCGAAGCGGTTTGCAATACATGTGACCCAGGCCAACACACGTAGTCATGTCTATGGCGCAAATGAACAGCGTGACATCTCTCCATACTGAACGGCAGTGTATTCTGAACTGACCAGTACGAAATCGTGTTGAGGTCACGCTGAAGCTTTTCGTGGTCGTTCGTTCCTCTGGTCGCTCGCCAGAACTTGATATTATCCGCGAAGAATAGGAAATCGGAGGTAATTACTTTCGCTAGACCATATAAGAAAACTAAAAATAGACGAGGCCTAAGCACCGAGCATTGGGGTACTCGGCACTCAATTGTGTCGGACATGATTCTTCTACTCTCATCTGGAACTTCAGTGAGATGTGGGAAGGCTGTAATCGGCTGGCATTCAACACCGTGAGTGTAGACTGTAAGAAGCCTAGACTAGATAGTCGCATGAGATGGGTAAGAAATTGCAGGCTAGTAAATCTGTACTATACGCAGGGTCTGGGCAGAGAAATTAAATACAGTAATCCACTTACGAACAGGTTTGCGATCGTAATGAGAAAGGGCAGAAACTGGAAAACGTGTGACGGCGTGGCAAAACTGTACAGCGCAACAGTTTGCTAAGCGGCAGATTGTCAAGCTCGAAATGTTTGACCTTGCGGTGTCAATAATATGCCAACAATGCGAAATGAAAACAAAGTGTTTCGTAATGTAAGGGTTAGAAGCAAAGGTGCAAATTTCTGTAACAATAGCAGTGAAGGTTTTGGGAAAAAGGGATATTATGTTCTCAATAGGTAAACCAGTTTGGCTCAAAACACAAAGTTCTCTTTGGACTTTACAATTAGTTTGGCTCGAATTTTCGTCTGATGAGACCAGTGAGCTGGAGTTGGCAGTAATCCAGGGAGGACATAAGTGCAACTGAAAAACGGAATGTGAGAAGAACTGTGGTTGGAGGTTGAGCAGTGGGAACAGCAAAGCCAATAGACATAGCAAGAACGAAAGCAGTAATGCATCTGTGATCCGTCAGTAAGCGTGATACTGCCCGTCTGCCTACGCCGAATTACAGGGTTGTCTTATAGGGCACTACGCCGAGTCTTTGATCAAGGATATAACCTACAAGGCAACAAGAGAGCGTCACAACCGGTTGGGAGCCGGTGACCAAATAAGTGGTTCATACTCCTTTAGGTCCTGCAAAGGACGGGGGGCTCAACACAACTTTGAAGTACCATGCTACTCAGGGAGAGGCAAGGGGCGGTGACTTCCTTTAGTGACGAGTCACATCCGTCACGTGGCAGTGTTGTTAAATGGACATATGTGGCTTTTTATAGAGAGAACGCGTGCCAGACGAAGACCCACCACTTCCTGGAACACTACCGCCGAACCATTCACTGGGACGGAATAATCCCTAACCACGCAGCTGGCACCACGAGATTATTCGGCAAGCCAGCTTAGTGGACGTCAGAAGTAAATGACAAGCAGTGTATGAATGGGGCGAATATATGCGCACCGAAGAAAAGCAGGCACCTAATAGTTTTTGGGTGTTATGCCGGTGAGCAGAACGACCCCAAGTCTCGATATGTCGGCGGTAAATTCTCAATGACTACTGATCTGAGAGCTTGGTTTTCTGACTCGTTATTGAAGTATCACTGAGTCCCGGATGATGTCGGGTGACTGTGGTCCTCTAATTGCTGTTTCCAATCGTAATTCTAAAAGCAGTGTGTTACACAGTTGATGCCAGCTACGCATTAAGTTCACCACCATCTGTTGGGACTAAACTAGTTTTAGTATTCTCGGACTGCTGACTTTATAGTGAGACGACACGGATAGGCATGAAATTGACTGTAGTGTGACGTCACCAGTACATATAGCTTCACGGATGTGCCACCATTCATCCTGACTATGATCATCGGCTTCCTCCTCGACAGCTGCCGGTACCTCCGGCACGCCATGGTAGAAAATGATTCTTTTGTCATTGCTTATGTGGCGGTCATTTGAATTACTTTTGGCCCGCTGGCGTTTGCTCTATGGCACATTCAGAGAAATGCGTATCTCACCGTCGTCATTCCCGAGGAAGGTACGCCGACAGAAAAACCGCATTGACATCAGCTGTGGATCTCAGTATTACCGGTATAAGTCGGGACTCGCAGCAGCGCAACGAATTTGAATGTCTGGTGATGCGCATTAAATTAGTTGATCTGGCCTATACACCGATAAATGTATGAAATAGTAAAGACCGTGGCAGATGCACAGTGAGCGCATGGCCAATGTATCACCAGCAGTACATCAAACATTTGAGCTAGTGCTTCGCTGCCATACAACCATGGTGATCTACGGAACGAAGAACAGCAAGAGAATAGGGACCCCGCGTAAAACCTTAATGCCCTAAGTAAACTTTCAGCGCAAAGGCGCCTACACCTGGTGTTAACAAATTACCGTTACAAACAGTTGGCTATAGTGCAAAGATAAGGCGGTATCAGCGAGACGCTTTCTTTGAGGCTTTCACTATCCGGCGTCGCAATAAGCAATTACCTCACAGATAACTAATCACCAAACACACATTAAATAAGCAACACGACTACAAGACGACGGCAGATGCGCAACTGATGCCGACCGCGAACAATGTCCTATAACATTTCGAGCCATGCACAAAGTGGGTCACGTTGACTCCAGTCTGCAAGGAGAGACGGACCAACGGCACACAGTTTTGTAGTCAGTGACTTCATTTCCCGCTGTAAACCGGTGACCTGGCATAAGTAACGTGCCGACGCAAAGTTAAGTTATTTATTAGTGCCATCTGTTGTTTGGAGGAACTAAGCTGATTATCACTGCCTGGCAAGCGCTTACGCAAGTCATCGTTGCGGAGACGCTGATGCCATCGGACACCAGCAATGCTACGTAGACAGTGATGATCAAAGACTTTAAGGCGCCGTAGGTCCTTTGCTCACTACCAGAGAACAGGACGGACCTCACTGTGCCTTTGTAAACACGATCATTCTGACTGAAGGGCACCGCCTTCTGACGCCACAGATCCACGAAGGCAGTTCTAGCTTTTGCAATGCGCGAAATGACTTCAGTGGTTATGCGTCCATCGTTGCTGATGCAGCTACCAAGATAAGTGAATTGATAAACTACCTCTAGTTCTTCGCTATCAAGGAATCACCAAGTGGCTAGTGATCCTGTACAGGGAAGTTGCAAGATGCTTGGACGGAAGTAGCTAGTTTAGATTTAGTTACGTTGCCGAAGACAAGTGGGAGTATGTGATCGCTACATCTGACGTTGATCACGACGGTTGTGAGAGGTGTGTGACGTGACGGGATAGGTAGAAAGCACGGTACATGCTAGCAGAGGCACAGATGAAGATCAAACGGACAGCCAGTACAAGTCGGCACTTTGAGAGATAATAAAAAAGTAGAAAAAGCTCAAGCTGTGCGAATTTATCGTGTGACAGATTCTGTGTCCGTCAGTGACCCGAGCTAGTTTACGTAAGGATGTCTTCTTGAAAACGCGGGTGACTCCGAAACAACGTAATACTAAACGATTCTATTCACAAATCGCGCAGAGTAACGTTACGGAAAACAACATCGCTTGCATATCCTTAACTCGCGTTTGACCTACAATTGCGAACTTGTGAAGATACGAGCGAGAGCATACGCTCTGGAATTTGTGAAGGCTCGTCCAATAAGTTTCATGATAAATTTCGGCTCACACTTAATAGAAAAGCAAGTCACACTTGTATAAAGTGCATGTTGGATTGTGTTTCCGCCACATTCAAATGTAGCTGCTTGTTAGGCTAGCGAAGTTTATTTGTACTGAGGCCAACATTACAACGCTGGCAACGATAGTCTACAAAAATTAACGTGAGACAACACCTGGAAGGTAAAGAATATACGCACAAGCGGAAAGTACTCTGCGGACCGCGTTCTATGCGAAGGAGTACTGCAGACTACTTCAAATGAACGTGGATGGCGATCTGTAACTCATTGAAATTCAAGGGCCGCACAGAATACGGTGGTGCATTCCAAATACACAAGATGGTGCATATGGGATGCACAGGGGAACGCTGAGGGTTTGTGAGACAAATAAAAGAACTGCTCCGTCAGGTGGCAACAACTTGTCCATGTAGATCAAAGATATGATGAGGGTAAAAGCCAAGAGCCCATCGGAATACGGTTCAGAAAGATAGCAGCAACGCTGAGGAAATAAAAAGTGAAGGCGAGGAAATAAAGCACATAGCTAGTGAGTCGACGCTTATAAGCAAGAGAAGTTAGTCGTCGCGACTGATTCATATGACCACTCATATCTTTTATCTCATTGAGATTTTGTTTTATTTGGGTGGAAGATCCTTCTAGTAGTTCGGTGTTTGCAGCACCAAGCCGGACTTCTTCAGCCAACCTCCGAGCGCAAGATGTCATATCACGGGTGAGCTCGAGGGATGTCTCATAAGCGGCATCCAAATCGTTTGCACCGGTTGGCAAGTCGGTCAAAGGGATACGTCGGACGAGGCATTCACGTTCCATTACTTCAAGATGACGTACCGCTTTGAAAACAGCTTTGCGGTACTGATCCTGAAAGGTAGGGAAGAGCAGTAGAAAAGCGGTAGTTGGTTGGAGCGGATACTAAGCAGTTTATATGCATACGCGATCAGGATTGTCAGATATATTCAAGACAAAGGGCAAATTCAGATGGATAACAGTTGCTGAACTTGGGGGCGTGTTAAAGCCATAATAACTGATTGTTAGCTACGACCTAACGATGCTCATTGTGCCTCGGCGTGTACGTGCAGAGGAAATGTTGGGCTTCCCTGTCAAGACGCCACCCAGTCGGGGTAGCGTGTAAGCAGTTTGGGTGGTTATTAATTAGCTGGATGATCATCGTTATACAAATTGCTGGTTTCTCAAGAAGCGGATGATGTGGCACAGCACACGCTAATACTAAGAGCGTATGCTGAAACTGCCTGTGTGGTCACCAGGCTTGTCAAAGAGCACAATCATTGAATTCCACCAAATAAACCTCGTAGTGTGGCCTGATAAGGGTTATTTGACGGTTAGACACTGCTTTACGTTGTGGTATCATGGATGTAGACGGCGCAACTTCAGTAGGATTGTAGTTACAGTCATACGCGTTGGAGTCTGCTGAAAGTGTTAGGGAAGGGAATCGATAGGATGTCAGACAGATAAACAGAAAGGTAAGAATAGTATCGGTAGCCACTGGCTTTCGCCTATCTGCACTGCTACGTACAGCAGATAAGATCCTCTAGATATTGTACGGCGGCCGACACAGGATGAAATCCACCGCACTTCGGTGCTCGGATCATAGTTGTTCAACTGAACTGAAATGAACTTGATGAAGTAATGGCTAAGTATTGGCAGAATGACTAGAAAATTAGATGAAATGTTTTGGGCCATAAGTTTGATCGTAGGAGAACGGAAATACGGTAGCGGTCGGTGAGATGGGTCAACTGCAAACTTTTTACCAGGTGAATATGTGTGACCTCTAAACATTGGCAAGTTAGGTGGCTGTAGCTCGCCGGGCGCCGAAGTGCATCACTCAGCATTGTCTAGAGTTTAGACAATTAGAAAAGCATGTAAACCGCAGTGCCGAGTTGAGGTACTGTGTCGTTGTGACAGTAACTCGTAAACGGTGTAATGGAGAACAGAATCCACCAAGGGAGCTCTCAACCATAATTGTCCAGAGTGGCGACTTAATGGCTTGGTAATCCGTAGTGATAAAAACGATACGGATGATAAAAAGTGCCCACCTGAAGAAAACTAAGTTGCTCAGTGTTAAAACCAGCTGAAGACTGCAGATTTTTGAACGCGAGATATCTTGTTGCACCCTTTTCATTTATCTGAAGATCGCTTAAAATGGAAGACATAAGGGATATGTTTCCTTTGATCTCGTCTTGGTAGATATCCAGCTGTTCGCGAAAGTTCCTGACATCGCACAAATCAGAGGGCATTTTCTCAATGAACGCGATGAGTTCCCTCGTTCTAGCGTCCAAGCTCAGAAGCTCGTCCATCTGACTGCGCGTATGTAAGGAAGGCATATTTCAGGAGCTGGCAGGTATGAATGGACGAAGGCATAAAATTACTGTCATGGAAAACTGATGTGTGAAAAATAACGCTCCAAATGGGCAGTTAGGTAACCATATCTCAAGTATCGAAGTGTGAAGGCAACAAGAAGCCATTTTTGAGGGAAATCTATAGTAAAAGAAAGGCAATCAGAACGTGAGATAACTTCAAGGTAAAGAAAAAAACGTACACTCATTGGACGGGAAGACTAACAATCAGAAGTGAGAGATCTAAAGCAAGTGTTGCACTTTCGCAGCTGCATTATGACAGAAAATCGGCAAGTCAGGGTGTCTGATATGGTGAAAAAACCGATTTTCCTGATTACATTTTTATGAGTGTGATCATCAACAGTAGCACATCAGTACTTAGTACGAGTACTCTAATGTCACAAGCAATAGAGGTGATCTTAATACTAAAGAATAAGAACTTGTGTCCTAATTTTGTTATTATTATTCAACACTTGACCAATGTACAATTGGTAGTGCCGTAACACATAGTTAACAACAACAAAAAGGGGGAAATGGGTAGTCAGTGGAAGAATTTGAGGAGTTTAGAAGGCCATATCGTGTGAGCAGAGATGTTCTCGGTTGCCCAGGCCGAGGAAAAGGGCTGAGTTAAGGGACCCCACCCCGAGCCTTTGGTCTTAAGACCTAACCCGCAAGGCAGCGGGGCGGTTAACGAAGACCGTTGACATCCGAGTGGTTCCTTCGCCTTCTTTGTGTTCGGTAGCAGTCCACAGAGAAGCCGGTGGCCAGCGAGGTTGTTCATCCGTTCTCCGTTATATACTCACCTCTGGTTACAGAAGTGAGTGGTCAGTGACCCTATAGCCGGTCACACTGGCTTTGACACAGCGACGTACGAGCTGTTGTGGTATTTGATGGAGAACCAGCCCAGAACTCCCCACGCTCTGGGACGTTGCCGTTGATGGTCTCCGACTGCTTATTCATCTCGCCTGCAAGGCAAACGAGACTTAGTTGCAGTTACCTCCACAAGGAAGGCATTCCCCAATCCGCAACCTGGGGACGCGCCCGATGGCGTGCAGCTCCGCCACGGGTGTGTCCTAAGCAGGTAATAAAGATCAAGGCGGAGATACCCTGCTAACATAAGACGGCCAGAAACGGTTGGTAATGGCAGAAAGACAATGTGGCATTCATGAGGCAATTACTGCACCGCGACCTAATTAGGCTTAGCCACAGGTAACTCAGAATTGCACACAGTTGACACGCAATTGGGCTAGGAGACGACAGCACACACCTGCCATAAGCATCGATGGTGGGTTATATCCTGTAATGTTGAGAGCAGAGTACAGGGGGAGCAGCGTGCGTGGAACGAACGGGCAGCATCCACTTTAGTCATCCGTGAGTTCAGCTATATTCGAACGTTGTGACATCCAACACCAGGTAAAAACAGAGCCCTTCAGCTCAAAGGGCACTTCTTCAATTCACATGCGTCGCACCAAGTGGTGCAACGCAGTCATCAACGCTGGTTCACCGTGTTTCAATACGTCAGGCGGGATCCCATCCGCACCAGCACACTTGCGGTTCCGCAGCTAAGCAAGTGTTCTCCACGTCTCATCCAGTGTCGGCATGTCCGCGAAACTCACTTTCACATCTTTCTGCTTCAGGTCGTTTAAGGTCGGCCAGTCAATCTCTGAACGGTTGTTCAAGAGACAATCAAAGTGTTTGCGCCAGATCTGAATTAGGTCTGTAGTTTGCGTGCAGACAGCACCTGAAGTAGCATCGAGCAGCGTTTTCAGCGGCACCAACCTCGGTCCATACAACCGCTTCAAGGAGAATTTCTTGTTTGCGGCGTTCGACGTGGCATTCCATCTGCTGCGCCTTCTCTGTCCACCATGCACTTTTAATGCGACGGAGCTCTCAAGTCAGCCGCCGTCGAAGTTTGCGAAACGGACTCTTCTTCCCCAAGTCGCTGGGGTCTGCAACATGTGCAGCAAATGCTGCATTCTTCTTCGACACCAATTGTCGCACTGTTCTCATCAAACAAATCGGATCGCTTACAGTTTGCGCGTCCGATGGTCTCTTCGGCAGCAACTGGCATCTGATCGCGAATGTTGCGCCACAGGTTTCCCATTGTGACTACGCAGTTCACATCACACAGGCATGCGAAGCCATCGCCTTCTCCAGCTCAATGCGTTTCGCCAAAGTACCGAGGGAAAGAATGTTAAATTTACGCCGATTCACGGCGGGAGTGCAATACATTGATTTACGAAAATATATGTACAGTTTGGTCGGCAGCAACTTGTGATCAGTGCCACACTCAGCTCCATGCAGGACACGTGTCATGCGCGCTTCACGCATATCACGCTGACGTACGATGACATAGTCGAGCAGCTGAGCGTGACCACTTCATGGGTGTGTCCAATTTACTATATCACTCGCACGCAAGTGCAAACCGAGTGTTCGTGATCGTCAGGCCATGAGTGGCACACAATGAGAGCAGACTGTCACCGTTCGCATTCGCTGAACCAATGCCATGCGCACCGATAACATCTGTCCACACCGATGCATCACGCCCAACGTGCGCGTTGAAATCACCAAGCAGAAATAGTCGGTCGCTCCTCGGCACAGACCGTAGCACGGAGGATAGCTCAGTGTAGAATTGATCATGCTTGTCATCAGTATATATATATATATATATAATTATATATATATATATATATATATATATATATATATATATATATATATATATATATATATATAAAATACACAAGCTGTGGTACAGATATTGTGCCATCGGAATCATGGCTGAATAGGAAAACAATACGAATAATAAGAAAAGAGCAACAACAAATGCTTTTTGCCATGTTTACCACTCACCGTTTTTGAATTCTTTTTCAGTTTGTTCTTTTTTAGGGGGAGGAAGAAGGGACACCGCAGCAAACCGATGCACACGTCCGCCATTGACATCGATCTTGAGCCATAACTTCCAAGGTCTTCAACCAACAAGTATCCTCATCTGTCGGACCGCAACCAGGTAGTCGACAGCAACCGGCCGAGGCCAACTGTTTCGTCAACTTTTTCATGCGGTTTCTCCATGTTGTAGGCTGTCCACCAGACCGTCTCTTCTAGCCCTGTCCAGCAAGTGCAAACAACGCACGACGGGGGTAACGCTGGACAGGCATGAGTAATACGTGTCCCAACCACCGCAGTTGATGCAGTGAGATGAGCTCATCGAGCGAGTGGCTTCCACGTCCCAAGACACGCTGTCTAACTTCCAAATTGCTTACGTGGTGCTGCCACCACACACAGGCAATGGACCGCAGACAGCGGTGCTCGAAGACGGATAGCCTGCGCAAGTCATCTTTACGAATGGGCCAGGTTTCGCATCCGTACAACAGTACAGCACGAACAGTTGCACAATAGACCAGCCCTTTGATGGAGAGACGAATGTTGTGGCAACGCCACAAATGCCTCAGCCTAGAAAAAGCGAGGCCTGCTCTCGAGATGCGCATCGAAATTTCGTCTCCAACAGCCCCGCCAGCAGTGATGCAACTTCCCAAGTAGACAAAGCTCTCCACAACCTCCAGTGTCTCACCAGTAAGCGTGAGTGCAGGCAGACGCATCTGCCAGTCTTGAAGGAGAGCCTTGCATTTGGATGGCGAAAAGTACATACCGTACTTTGATGCTTCAATCGCCAACCGGTTTAATGCAAGTTGGACGACCTGTGGATCGTCACCCAGCAAGACGATATCATCAGCATAATCCAAATCAACAACTCGACTACCTGGACTAGCTTCTGTGA